AGAGAGAGAGAGAGAGAGAGAGAGAGAGAGAGAGAGAGAGAGAGAGAAAGAAACAGTCAGTCCCGCTCAGACTTATCTTCTTCCCAGGCTGTATAATGTAGCTAGCACCTGCAGAACTCAGGAAGAAATGAAAAAAAAAGTATATATTAAAATGTATATAGTAAATACATATTAAATTATATAATATACAAAAATGTATATAAAAATATATTATCTCAAACACTCAGCAGGTGTTACATGCTAGGTACTGTTCTAAGTGTGTTACCTGTGAAAATTCCTTTAATCCTCACAACAACCCTAGGATACAGCTACTATTATTAGCATCCATTTGCAGATGAGGAAACTGATGCAGTGAGAGGTGAAAGGACCGGCCCTGTAAATGGTAGTGCAGGTATTCGCATCCGGGCACTCTTGGCCCCTCGGCTGCATGGCCTCTATCAGAAGGGGAGTACCCACAGCAGGGATGGTCTGCTGACATGGCCTCTCGTGGGTGGTAACCAAGCATTCTTATTTAGTGCCAGCACCTAGATAAGTTCCTGGCTCAACTTCCTTTCCAGAATATCTGAGTGATAGGTTTTAACGTTATAATGATAATAATAACTTCCTTTTTACATGTGTCAGCACATCTAAACCAGTCTGTCAATATGCTCTCATGTAAGGCTTTCAACAATCTTAAGATTCCTCCTGAGGTGACTCAGCTAGAAAGTGGATGGCTATGTTCTTCTCACAAGATGTAAAATGCTTCTAGAAAGTCCTGTAAGGAGAAAAGAGAGAAGTCTGGGCATCTATGGATGGGATATGGAGATAGCGTGACTCCGTGAAAGAAACACCAGAAGACTGCAGTTGGAGCCCGGGCCGGCCACTTGTGCACCATGTGACCACTGGCATGTTACTGAGCTTCTCGGAGGCTCAATGATTTTTTTTCACCAGGTAAATAGAGTTCATGATTTCAAATGCATAGGGTTGTCATACAGATCAAACTAAATAATGTGCTTTGGAAGCTATTTTAGCACACAGAACAGGCAGGTGACCTTCTTACTAGCCTTCTTCTCTGATGGGTGTCTACTTTGGGCTATGGAGATAGAACAGGTGGTCTCAAGGGTGTAATTACATTGGGATAAATTTCCAGAAGCTGGAATGAAAAGATGTGAATCTTTCTCAAATTCAAATAAGTTTAAAGCAATTCTAATTCAAACCCCAATGGGATTCTGGCCATAAGATGTAAGCAGAATGTTGTGTGGAACTTGCTGGAAGCCTCCTCGAAGAGAACTGACTCAGCTGAGAGATGCATCTCTTTTGTCCTCCCTCCTTCCTACTGCCTGGAAAACAGACATAGTGGCTGGAGCCCCAGCAGTCATGCTGGGCCTTGGGCTGACTTTGACGCTGGAGCCATGTGCTACAGAGAAGAAAGACGGAAAGCACTCTCCTGGCGTGCCGTCTTGCCAGTTCCAGATTGGACACTTCTGGATTTCTTTTATGAGAGAGGATGTATCCATGTATATTTAAGCTGCTGTCATTTTGGCTTTTCTGTTATAAGCAGTTGAATGAATCCTAACCGATCCATTCATCATGTGAAATTACAGGAAGGTAGAATTGTTGAAGACCTAGCCAGGAGGGTGAAACTGCAAACTTTCTCTCTCGGTGACTGATGGAGGTCTGCAGAGCAAGAAAGGCTGGAAAAGCCTGCATGGAGCTGGGAGGGAAGTGAAAGGAGTGATTGTATTCTCTCCTGCTTTAGGGGAGTATCTCATGCTGGAGAATAAATGTTCAAAAAAAAAAAAATCAACTGCTCTCTACAAGTGTAAGAGGCTTCCTGCCGCCTGCGAGAGCTTGGGATTTATCAGAATTAAAAAAAAAAAAGAGACAGAGTCTCCCTCTGTTGCCCAAGGTGGAGTGTAGTAGGTGCAATCAAAGCTCACTGCAGCCTCAAACTCCTGGCCTCAAGCGATCCTCCCGCCTTGGCCTCCCAGAGTGCTGGAATTACAGAGCTGGGATTACATGGCGGTCTAACAGACTTTTCATATTAATTTATGTACTCTTGGGGAAAACCCCTCAGAAGACACTGAGAAAAAAACAAGCTTGCTGTCAGTGGAGGAAAAGAATGAACATGTCCTTGAAGGGGTAGTGGTTGGGAGTGGCTTACCATTAATGTGTTTCTTTCTTTTTTTTTTTTTTTGTTGGAGTCTCACTCTGTCGCCCAGACTGGAGGGCAGTGGCTGCTCCTGGCCACCGCAGCCTCGACCTGCTGGGCTCCGGCTATCTTTCCGCCTCAGCCTTCCAAGTAGCTGGAACTACAGGCGCGTGCTACCACGCCTGGCTAATTTTTAAAAAAATTGATTGTAGAGATGAGGTCTTGTCAAGTTGCCCAGGTGGGTCTTGAACCCACGGGCTCAGGCAATCCACTTACCTCAGCCTTCCAAAGGGCGGGATGACAGGCTGAGCCACTGAGCCTGGCTTATTAATATGTTTCTAACCTCTCCCTAGCCCACCCCTCGGATATACTCACGATGTCACTGCCGGCTCCACACGTCACACTCAGCTCAGAACCTTGCAGGGTCTTCCAGGCGGCAGATTTAGGAAGATCCACAGCTAGAATCTGTAGGAACAACAGTGTCACATGAATGTTCCATGCTGGAGCTGAAGAGGGGCCCACAGGAGCTTGGCCAGCAAACCAGATTCAGAAACAAGTTTTTTCACGCGTGATAACACTTTTAGCGTGATAACACTATGGCTACAATCGAGACGAAGAACAGCCATGGGCTCTCTGGGCAGCTGGAAGTTGCTTCTGGAGGAAGAGAGTCAGCCAGCCGGTCTGGTTCTAATCACCCTTCCATCCCCCAATCTACGCTCGGGAGTTTCTGGAAGATACAGGGTCGGTGTATGAAGCCCAGGAAAGAATGAGCGGGTGAGGCTGAGATGATCCAGGGCGCTACTATAGGCTGATGTGCCCTCAAAAAGTCATGCTGACGGCTGGACCCCCAGTTTCTCAGAATGTGGTATGTGGAGAAAAGGTCACTGTGGATGTGATTAGTCAAGACGCAGCTCTCCTGGGGCAGGGTGGGCTCTGAACCCAGCATGGATGGTGTCCGCATAAGAAGAAGAAGGGAACATGCCATGGGAAGATGCAGAAACACTGAGGGAGAAGACGGCCCTGTGAAGGTGGAGCCAGGGCTTGGGGGGAAGCACCCACAAGCCACCGAGCGCCAAGGACTGGCAGCGACCACCAGAAATGAGGAGGGACACATGGAACAGCTTATCTCAGGGCATCCAGGAGGAGGGACCCTGGTGGCACCTCGACTAGTCTCCAAGCTGTGCACTACAGAGAACACGTCTGTTGTTTAAGCTGCCCTGTTTGTGGTACCTTCCACAGCAGCCCTAGGAAATAAATCCTGGGGCTATGAGTGGACTGGAGTTAGAGCGTTTGGCATCCTTGAAACTGATGGACTCGGTCCTGAAAAGAAACCTGAGTCCTGGTGGAGGATGTAAAGGGAATGCCCGTTCCTGTATGACCTTGTTTCTCTGACACAGTTGATCTGTTCAGAGGGCCAAAAACTGAATGAAGCTGGATTAATCAGCCTTGAGATTCTGGCATTGGGAGAGGAAGAGTCTATCTGGAAACACTTGAGAACTGCTGTTGGCAGTCAGTTTCCGTGTGAAGTAGGATGGAAAAAAGGTTGGTCTGTAGGAAAGAGAGGAGTGATATTCTCTCGGGTATTGGAGTTAAAAGAAGATCACGGCAGGTCTAAGAGCAGAACCAGGTGTGGTATACTGCAGGTGCCAACTCACCACAACCAGTCAGAAGAGGATCCAGTGGGGCAGGGACTTCCGTGGCCTCCTGCACCGTGTGGAGACAGGGCCACACTGATAGCTCCTGGGCCACAAAGCCTTGGTGCCGAATTTGATCACCCCCTGGGACATTTCTGCATTCACTTCCACATTTAGACAAAATACCTTGGAATCTCGGATCACGTGGAACTTCAAATATCCCTTCAGCTTGTCCCTGTTGTCCTGGTTGAACAGGAAGTCCTGTTGTTCGGAGGGGAGTGCCTGGAGGGCTTGGTCCGTGGGCCAGAAGAGAGTGACTGGGGTGTGGATGGGGTCCGTGATGACACTCAGCAAGCCTGAGTCCTGGAACACATGGTCAGCCCCCGCGAGCGTGCACCTCCGTGTGCCAGCCGGGAGGTGGGGTGGGGTTCAACTCTCTGAGGACACCCTCCATGCCCCACCCCACTGCTACAGGATTCTGGATGGCTCAAGGGTGACACAGCCAGGAACACAAGGCCCATCACACTCGAACCCACGTTTCCTTAGATAGCAGATCACAGAATCACATTCTTGTGTTAGGAGAAACATCAATTTACACTTTAGAGAATATCTTTTAAAAAATACCACTCAGAGCCGGGCTCAGTGGCTCAGCCTGTAATCCTGCGCCTTTGGGAGGCTGAGGTGAGTGGATTGCCTGAGCCCGCGGGTTCGAGACCCGCCTGGGCAGCGAGACCTCATCTCTACAATAAATAAAAAAATCAGCCGGGCATGGTAGCGCGTGCCTGTAATTCTGGCTACTTGGAAGGCTGAGGCGGAAGGATCGCCAGGGCCCAGCAGGTCGAGGCTGCGGTGGCCGGGAGCGGCCACTGCACTCCAGTCTGGGCGACAGAGTGAGACTCCAACTCAGAAAAAAAAAAAAATACCACTCCACCAGCTTTTAATGGCTGAATGACCCATTTCATTTTAAAAAGTGAAATCTGTGTAATATTGAGATACTGTGCATATTCACAGGGTACAGATTATATGAATCCCAAAGACTGCACGGTAGATGGAGAGGAACATTCTGAGAGCCCTCTGTAGCCTGATGAATCATGTATACTTTTTCTTTTAATTTTGCCAACAGTCTATGAAGTAGGTTTTATCACTCCCTTTTGTTGCTCCCAGAGAGGATTGCTAACTTGCTTTAAAAGCCTGTGTTTGACCAGACCCTGGTGCACAGGTGTGGGGGTGACTCCAGATTTTTGTCGGGGGGTGGGGTGGGCAAAGGTGATTTGACCACAACATGCTTGGAGGTTCTTGTTTTGAACACCTCAAAGTCTCCATTTCTAAAAGGCTATGCAGAGAGTCAGAGACCCAGACCATTCTGGGAATTGTTGGTCAAATGCAGAGATTTATTGACTATGCCATGGGGGGAACCCAGGGTTCTTGGAGCCCTTCAGGGACTGCTCAGGGTAGGGGTGGGGTGTTGCAGTAGGACGCTGGGCCTTCTCTGCCCTACTGTCTTCTGCAATCTTTTGTCTGAACAAGAAGTTTCTACTCAATTCATGGAAACACTCTCTGGAGTCAGAAAGACATGGTTTTATGTCACAGGCATAGACTTCCCAACTCCCCACCCCCAAATGCTCCCCCCTTCCCTATCTCTCTAATGGAGCTGGTAATCACAGAGGTGAAGCAACTGGTACGGGGACTGGGGCCTCCCAACTTCTTTCCCTCTCCCTAGCCTCAGATACTTCAATTTGTAACTCAGCCAATGTACTTTATAGAGGTCGACACACCATGCATTATTCTGAGAAGGGAGCAGCAGAGAATGACTTTGCTTTCCAGAAAACTGGGTCTTCCCCAGACAGATCCCATAACAACCGACTATTGTAAAGACAAAACAAAACAAACAAAACAAAACATCTTTAGGCTGGGTATCCCGAGTCAACTTTCCCCCTAGGTTTTTTACCTGTATTAAGTTGCTAAATTTGGTGTAGCCATGGTTTGTTGCCACTGTTGTAAGATTTTGCTGCAAAGATAATAAGAATGAGCATGAAACTCCCCTCATATTGTTCACAAAGCACTTTAACAAAAGACCAGTTGAGCAAAATAAAGGGAACATAGCGTGGAGGTGTGGTCGGTTGGGACATCAGCACCATTCCAGAGCTCCTCTGCCCGTGTGTTCCTGCATTCTAGAGGCTAGAAGACTAAGTGCTACATTTTCCCAGACTCCCTTGCAGCTAGAGCCCCACATGTAATATAGGGTCCTCCAAACAGAAGCACTGGCATAAAGCTTGTTGTGGAAAGAAAAGACATGAGGTGGTAGCAGCTGCTAGCAGTGGGCTCAGGCCTGGCAAACACAATGGTGGGGCCTCTGCTGTCCAGTCTCTAAGGCCCTAGGTGGTGAGGCTAGAGACAGGTAGCAGTGGTAGAGCTGTGGCAGAGCTGTGGCAGCCAGAGCAGCCCTGTGATGAAGTCAGGTGTCCACCCTCTGTAGGACTCCCTGGGCTGCTTTGTTCCCAACTGGGCAGAATTAGGCTCCGGCCTTCCAGAGATATGGTGATGTAACCAATATCTTAAGAATAACTAATATCATAAGCTTTTTGTGTAAGTGTAATGGATTCTACGGTCTGCAATGAAGAACCCTGACCAATACTAATAAATTAAAATAAAAGCCAACTGGGTGCAGTGGTGTGTGCCTGTAGTCCTAGCGACTCAGGAGGCTGAGATGGGAGGGTCGCTTGAGCCTGAAGTTTGAGTCCAGCCTGTGCTACATAGCAAGACTCCATTTCTTTAAAAAAAGTTAAAATGACCTTTTCTTTCAATTGAAAAGGAGTTTTTACTCCAGGTTTAGTTTTAAGGATGTCTATATCTATATCTGTATATCTATCTATCTATCTATCTGTCTGTCTGTCTATCTATCTACCTACCTACCTATCTATTGTCTCTATCTTTCAAATCTATGCAAGACTATCTGCCCTTGTGGACACTAAAAAACCCCAAACAAAAATCTACTTATAATTTAAAATAGACTTTTACTTGTTTACTTATTACTAAAAATAATGTTTACTAGGCTTTTAATGATAGCTTGGGATTTTTTTTTTTTTTGAGTTGGAGTCTCACTCTGTCGCCCAAACTGGAGTGCAGTGGCCGCTCCCGGCCACCGCAGCCTCGACCTGCTGGGCTCCGGCGATCCTTCTCCCTCAGCCTTCCAAGCAGCTAGAACTACAGGCGTGTGCTACCATGCCTGGCTAATTTCTTATTTATTGTAGAGACAAGGTCTCGCCAAGTTGCCCAGGCGGGTCTCGAACCCGCGGGCTCAGGCAATCCACTCACCTCAGCCTCCCAAAGGCGTGGGATTACAGGCTGAGCCACCGAGCCCGGCTGATAGTTTGGGATTAAAGCAGCAAAATTAGAATGTTTCAGAATGATGCCCCAGAACCAGAATTGCGATGAGTCACCCTACAATGAGTTCACCTACCACAATCCTTCCAGAGGCGTTTTTGGGGGTGAGAATCAAATTCTGGGGAGACAGCAGTTTGTCTATGATGTGGATGATCCCATTAGAACAGATGATATCACTGGATATGATCTTAGCCTTGTTATTTATATACACCGTGCCCTGAAATCAACCAAAAAGGAAATAGAAGTGAAGCACAATGAGAAATCGATGCAAAATCACCTCTCACAGAACGCGTCACTTTAAGTCATCAGGAGCAAAACCTGAGGGTCCCAGTGACCTGAGCACATTTTTATTATGAATATGCGAAAACTAAGAATGTAATTTTTACCTGGAGGAGTGAATGACAAATAATATAGAATCAACCAAAGCAGCCACTTCAATGTAATTCTCAGATATGAAAACCACAAGGAGCTCAAAACTGGTTTCTCTCTCATATTTGCTCCACCCTCCTCTTCCCTCTGCAATGAAGTCTATAGCCATGATTTGTTTCTCTGTCCTGGGGAGGGTTGGGACTAGCATGGTCAAGTGACTTTGATCAACACGTTTATCCTTTTCCAGCTTCTGTCCAGTGCTACCAAAAGCAGTTCTAATGGAGCTTCCCTGCCTCCAAGTTTCAATTCCAGCTCTATTATTTACTCACTATGTGACCTTGGACAAGTTACTTAACTCCTCTGAGCTCAGTTTCCCTATTTGGACATTATGAAGCATAATACTATCTATACCATGGGCTATTTTGCAGATTAAACTAGTATATAGCAAATGCTTAGAAGAGTGCTGCATATATATGCAGGCATGTAGAAATCATTCAACATATGCCAGCTGTTATTATTATTACTGGTATCACTCTAAGGAAAGCAAGGAGACAGGGGATCTAAGGATAACTGGCTCCTTCCTGAGGTGGCCTCTCACCTGAGAGATGGAGAAGACGATCGGCTCCCCCTGGAGAGAAGTCGCATTTGGAGTCAGTTTCAGGTTTTCCAGAAGCAGCTGCTGGCAGGCGATCACGTGGTAACGAAGGACCTGGGGAATCAGGCCCTGCCTGTCCCAATCTTTTAGCTGCAAGGGAAGATCCGGCTCCAGAGGGAGGCAGGTGCCTCTGGCTGCACCCTGCCCTATGCTCTCCCCTCTCCAAAGTCCCCCCCCATGCCTCTCAGCCCCCAGGCTCTGGGTTGTGGACTTGGCCATCAAGGTTGTGGCATAGAGGCTGTCCAGGTGAGAGGGAGAAAGGGAGGCTCCCTGTCTGCCTCTGTGTGGCATCTCAGAGTGGAAGGAAACGCAGGGTTCCTTTGCCTGGCACTTCTCAGTACATGTTGCCAAGTGCCCAGGTTCCATGAGATACTCTTCAGAAAAAGCACGCCGGGGAGTCCTGCATAGCACACCCCCTCTTGGAGAGGGCCCAGGACAGATTGAACCCTCAGGACTGGAAAAGATCATGGCATATCTCCATTTGGAGTTAAAAACACAAACAACATCGACCATAAAGTCACCGCCCACAAATCAAAAATCCACAAAGCCCACAAAGTTCTCACGGCTTCAGGATAACTCCTTTGATGCCTTTTCTCTTGAATGCTAAAGTGTCAGATTCTTTCTAAAATTTAATTCAAGATTTCAAAGTCTTAATTTCAAATTCTTTCAAAACCTCTCTTTTTGCCCCTGCTTTGCTGGTGTTCAAAATACACACAGGGGGAGGCAGTGTGTGCCGCGGCTAAGAGCACGGGCCTGGGTTTGAGTCTTGATTCCACCACCTGCTCGTCGGGTGACTTTGGAAAAGCTACCTCCCTCGGTGTCCTCAACTGTAAAATGGGAGCAACAATAGCACTCAGGGTTGTTGTGAAGATTCAATGAGGCCGGGCTTGGTGGCTCAGCCTGTCATCCTGCGCCTTTGGGAGGCTGAGGTGAGTGAATTGCCTGAGCCTGCAGGTTCGAGACCCGCCTGGGCAACTTGGTGAGACCTCATCTCTACAATAAATAAAAAATTAGCCGGGCGTGGTAGCGCGCTCCGGTAATTCCAGCTACTCGGAAGGCTGAGGCGGAAGGATCGCCGGAGCCCAGCAGGTCGAGGCTGTGGTGGCCGGGAGCAGCCACTGCACTCCAGTCTGGGCGACAGAGTGAGACTCCAACTCAAAAAAAAAAGAAAAAAAAAGATTAAATGAGACTGTCTAAGCCAGGTCCTCGGAACAGTGCCAGGCACTTGCAATGTTCGCCAACCTTATTATTAGGGGGTGATCCAGCACGAAGCGCCCCAGTGAATATTAGAACTGTAAAGCTGTGTTTTCTTTTGCCCAAGCCAACACTGGCATGCCTCCCTTTCTTCTCTCCCTTCTCTCTCTAATAAACTTTGTTTGAAAACTTAAAAAATAAAGACAAACAACAAACCAGGAAAGCCTCTGCTAAGTCCCGCAAGAAAAGAACCTACTTAAATCCCTTTAACCCAGCATTTCCCCCTTAATTCCGTCCTTCCTTTTTGTCTGTGAGAGGTTTGCAGCACTTGAGAGTTTTTCATCTTCTCCACCCTACTGTCTAGTTCAGGAATGTCCTTTAGGTGGTCTTTGGCCACCGAACGCATCCCCTGAGGTCGTCCCTCTGCTGAGAGGCAGCCCACGCCATCCCAAATCTCCTCCCAGAAGCGTCTCTGGTGTAAGTTCCAAGGCAAAACCCAAAGCTGGTGTGCTAGCTCCAACCTCCTCCGCCCGCTCACAGCCTGGCACTTACCTGCACCTCCTCATCAAAGGCTGCAGATAAAGGTGCAAAAACGGTGAAGGGGCCCCGGCCCACCAGGTCCTTCACAGAATGCTCCTGCGGGTAGGAAGGCAGGGCCACATGTCACTTACTTGATGTTAAGACAGGCTGGGGCTCCAACTCATGCCAGAGTCCATGGGCCCGGGCAGACAGAAGGCGGATGGGGAAACCGTGTTCTAGTCCGCAGTTTTTCCATCACTGAAATCATCTTTATTTTTTTTTAATTAAAAAATTAACAAGCCGGGCTCGGTGGCTCAGCCTGTAATCCCGCGCCTTGGGAGGCTGAGGTGAGTGGATTGCCTGAGCAC